CAACTGGCTTGACCAGAAAAAAGATACGGATTCTCGTTGGGTTGTCGTACGTAAGTTTGATGAAGACAATACCTTAACGCATTTACTATAGATGATGCCAGGTCAAGTCGAAAATTGGATCCAATACTCAGACTGTATTTTACATGATGTTACCCACAAGACTAATCGTTACGGGATGGCGTTGGCGTTGTTTGTTGGGTTTGACAGTAATCGCAAAAATATTTTATTAGCACAAGCACTTCTTTGTGATGAAAGTGTTGGCTCATATAAGTGGACTTTTACAGAAATCATTAAAGCCACAAATGTTTATCCAGCTGTTATTCTTACTGATACCGATCCAGCAGTTGATGTCAAGTATTTATTATGACATATCCGATTCATTGTGCTTATCATTTAACACAAAACCTATATAAAAATCTCAAAAAGCTGTTAGGCGATACATATCAAAACTTTCTTAAAGACTGCTATATTTGCCATAACAGTTTCTTTGAAATTTTTTTTCATCAACAGTTTAATAAACTCACTCAAGATTATCCTAGTGCCAAAAGTTATTTAGAGTTCCTTTTTAAATCAAAAGCCTATTGGGCCCATTGTTTTACGTGTTTCAAGTTTATTGGAGGAATGATTGCTACATCACGAGTTGAATCAGTAAATGCATACCTGAAACGTTTATTATATAGTTCAAATATCTCTTTATGTGACCTTTTAACTGAGATTACTAGGTTATTGGATATTCAGAATAGAGAGAACGAATATAAATTTTGGAAGCTCTCAATTCCAAACATGAAAAATCAGGATAAAGTGAACTTTTTGTTTACTAATGTTGACAAGTGTATTCAAAAGTTTCTTACGTCAACCATTTTACAAATGCAATATAACGAAATTAACCAGTCAGTTTATTATATGTCGAATGTAATTAAGGATATGATGCATTTTAGTGAGGTGAGGGTCTAATTATTTATTTTGTTTGAATAAATATGGTGTAGTATATTAAGGTTGTTTTTAATAGGATGATGATTCTAACAATTCTCATGAAGAATTTGACAGTGATGATATGTAAACTAGTTTTAATCAACTGATTGAATTTGCCGGCTTGAACAATATCCAGGAGACTTGGACTATTTGTGCTGGAAATTCAACAAAAATAAAGCATTATGTTTTGCTATTA